GATTGTTTCTCTTGATTTTCCCGGCCCTTCTTTAGGGAAAAGGGTCACTCTTATCCCGCTTCCTCATTAAGGCTGGTCTGAGCGTTGTACCCAGCCTCCTGCTCCTGCTGGAACTTGGCTTTTCCCGCTAGCCTCTGCTGTCTTCAGGCTGTAGAAGCTTGTCTGATGTGTTGGCCATGAGGGGAAGAGGGTATACGTGAGCCCGGAGAAGGAGTGAAGGTGACAAAAGAGGGATGCACATGTGGTCATGGTATTGAAATCTTCTAGGACACTCTGTCTACCTGGAGATACCACTTCCGGATAGCATTTATAGGAATTTACACTTGTTAGGTGAAAGAGACGCTAATCTCCTGCTGTTCTGGATTATCCCAGACAGTGGCATTCATTACCCAACAAAGAGAATTTCGGTATTCAGTAAGACTCTGGAATTTTAACATTTCTTTTTTCCTACGCTGTGCTCCATGCTTGGAAAATTCTAGATAAACCCAGGCCAAATGAATTTGTTAGGTTTGCCGTTAACCTTGCAAAAACATCTTTTACTTAGAGCCACCACCATAACCCATCTATCCCTACTCATTTGTTTGTCACCTCAGATGCATGAATTGAGTGCTTATGCCGTGCTAGTATTAAAGACTTTTTCATCAATTCAATATCAAGATTGCAGTATCGTGGGAAGGAAATTCTCTAATTTTAATTCATTTCTATAATATTTGTTATAATCAATGAGATATAACCTATTCAATTTTTTGAATTTTGTTTAGATTTCTATTTTAAAAATTTTTTTTTTTTAACGTTTATTTATTTTTTTGGGACAGAGACAGACAGAGCATGAACGGGGGAGGAGCAGAGAGAGAGGGAGACACAGAATCGGAAACAGGCTCCAGGCTCTGAGCCATCAGCCCAGAGCCTGACGCGGGGCTCGAACTCAGGGACCGCGAGATCGTGACCTGGCTGAAGTCGGACGCTTAACCGACTGCGCCACCCAGGCGCCCCTAGATTTCTATTTTAAAGTAATTTTAAACAAAGAAAAATTGTGAAAACAGTACAAATCATTCTCTTATATCCCTATCCCTACTTCTCCTATACTCCTGCAATACTGTTAGTGTATTTTATAACCACAGTGTAATTATCAAGGGCAGGAAATTAACATTGGCACAGTATTATTAATCCAACTTGTTTGAATTTGACCAATTTTTCTACCAGTGTCTCCTTTCTGTCTTAGGATCCCACGTTCCTTTAGACATTATTTCTTTTTAATCCCCTCCAGTCTGTAACATTTCCTCACTTTCCTTGTTTTCATGATCCTGACACTTCCAAAGGTTATTGGTCAGCTGCTTTATAAAGTGAGGCTCAATTTGGGCTTGTCTTATGTTTTCTCACGATTGAAGTGAGGTTATGCATTTTTGGTGAAAATACCATATAGATGATGCTTTTCTCCTCCCCAGCACATTGTACCAAAGTGTTCATGATGATGTTGATGTGTCTTATTTCCAGTGACATTGACCTCAATCTCTTAGTTAGGTTGCTGTCTACCAGTTTCTCCACTGCAAAGTTGCTGTCTTCTCCTTTATGACTGATAAATATCTTGAGGGGAGATACTTTGAGGTTATGCAAATCCTGTTTCTCTTCAAACTTGGGTTCACTAACGTAAGCACCTATCAGTAGATCTTGTCTGCAACATTCATTAATGTAAGTCTAAGGGTGAGACTCTTTCCTTTCTTTTTCACAGTTATTAATTGGAATTCTCTTACAAGAAAGCTGGTTTCTGTATTTGATTACTTATTTATATTAGTATGGACTCATGGATATTGATTTTATTCCATGGATGAATCTGATACTATTATTAATTATTTTGTCACTCATATTTTTCCAGCTTTGGCCATGAGAAACTCCTTTAGGTTGGCTTCTGCATTCTTTGAACAAGGATTCCTTTCTTTCTGTCTTTCTTGAGTATTTCCTCATTTTCTGGCCCCATAAGATGTTCCAGACTCATCCTGTATTTCCCTGTTCCAGCCTGGATACAACTACTTCTCCGAGGAGGAGCCTTATTTATTTTATTGGATGATGGTGTTTAGAGACCAAGATACGGGCACTGAGTGTGCTCATTGTTTCTGGGGATCATCGGTTCTAAGCCTCTCCACGAACAAAGCAAGGACATATATGTATGCACACTAACCCCTGGACACACATATATCTACATTTTGCATCTATGTATGTATTAGAAACCATGAGTTTGCACCAATACCTCTGATTCCAGGCCAACACCACACAGTTCATTTTAGCCTTCCCCTTTTCCTTGTAGCTTGTTTTTCCAACAGTAAGAAAACTGGTTTTCATTCTCTCCAATGTATGTATATATTTGCAGAGTAGTTTAATTCCAGCACACACATTAAGTAGTTTCAGAATTGCTAACCCATAGTTCAGAGGGATCTTTTTGTCTTTAGCTTTATGCTATCCAGTCGAGATACTGTTTTCTGATATTGCTTATGTTGGTTCTTTCCTTCCCCACCCTTCCATGTAGTTTTGTGATTTATCTGAAGTAGGGTTTTACTTTGTTGTGGTGTTGCTATTCTTTTTTGGGTTCCCCCACGTCCTGATTGCTTTTTATTGTTAGTTTTGTTTTTGGAGTGTGCAAAAAGTATGTGAAACCCCACTATGGGCTAAGACTGGACGTTATACCAATAAACATACCCCAGAGAAGTGCTTCTCCTTCCTCATGCAGACACCTCATGCCCAATCCCTCCTTCTTCCCACCCACCCCCTATACATAACCAACCTCTGGTTTCTGGTTTCTGCTTCCTGTGTTTTTTTTTTTGTTTTTTTTTTTTGTTTTTTTTTTTGTTTTTTTTTTTCACAAATGAGGATGTATGTATGTGTATTTTCTTAGATCCCTTTCTTATATGATGGGTCACATACTATAGATGGTCTGTTGGACTTCACATACTCCATGATGAAAATCACAACAATCAGTTTATAGAGGTCTTCGTTCTTTCTTGCAGCTGTACCATAGTACCATTGTATGGGTGAACCACAGTTTGTTCAGCCACGTATTGTTTCCAATGTCTTGTCATTACAGAGCTGCAATGAACGTCACCTTCTGCATATCTATTTTTGTATTGTTAGAGGCATATCTTCCCAGAAGTGATGTAGTTCAAAGGATAAGTGTGTATTTTATTAGGTGTTGCCAAATTTCGCTCTAAAAGGACTGCACTATTTTTCAGTGCAAAGTATGAGGACACCTTTTTCCTCACAGCCTCACCAATACAGTGTGCCATACTTTTCTTTCTTTTTTGGGAGGGCATCGGGGAGCAGTTTCATAGGTGAAAAATGGCGATTCAGTGAGTCTATTTCTATAATTTGGCATGCGTTTGGTGCTTTTTAATGTATCTGAGGACCTTTTATATCCTTTTTGTGATTTGTCCGCTCATGTCTTTTTCTCCTGTTTCTACTTTTTTTGTCTTTTGTCACCTCGATATTTTAGAGTTTTTTAAATACATTATGGATATTCGCTCTTTGTCCATGGTACATGTTATGAATAATTTGTCCCAGTTTGTCAGTTGCCTTTTGTTCATGATGTCTTTGTGAGGCAAAAAAAAAACTTAAAAATGTTTATGTAGTCAAATGTATCACTCTTTTATTGCTTCTGGATTTTGAATCCTCCTTAGAAAGCCTTTCCCTATGTAAGGTTAAAGAGGAAGTCACCCATGTTATGAAAATAGTTTGAAACATTAAAGACATACACATGGTAGGGTTTGTTAAGATTCCTTTGCAACTGGGAATGTTAAGACCCCTCCCTTATTCTTCTAAATAAATGCCTGGCCATCAGCCTTCCCGGCTGAGTCCTGTTATCAATTGTCATCCACTACTTAACAACTAATCACCCCATCTTCAAGCTTTCCTGGTCTCTTTAGACCCAGGGACCCCATCTAAAACTACGCAGGGGTATTGAAGACTATCTCGCCTTCGCCAGTGCTTTTTACTCTTAAGTGAATTCTGTTTTGTCCTGGTAGTATTATTAAGTATTAGCAACTTTAGAAGTTTCTGCTGACTCAAGCCCAGAGTCGGCACCTACTCACTTTGCCTCCCTTCCCTTTCTGCCTCATCTCCTTTGTTCTCCTAAAATTCACCTTCCTCCTTTTTCAGAGACCATTCAGCCACAGCCTCTCAGTGGACGAGTGAGCACCTTCACAGCTATGCCTTCTGCATGACGCACATCATAGCCAAGTGATAGGGCGTAAACCCGACAGAGTCAGGCCCATCCAGCAGAACACAGATATAACGTCATCTGAAAAACATATGAAAATGAGTCTTTTCCACATGTTGTAGATAATAGTAGCTACAAAATATACTGAAATATTTCAGACCTATACAAGTGTTAGGTTTTCTTCATGTTCATTATGACATTTATTTAAGCACCTTAGCAGGATTTTGTTAGCATAGTATTTTGCATATCAGTAAATAAAGAACCTCAGTGATGTCTGAAAGGAAGACAGTCTTTCAACCTTCCCCTCTCCCTTTCCTTCCTTCTCTCTCTCCCTCCCTCCCTCCCTCCCCGTGTAAACCAAAGGGTGAAGTCTGTCCTGAGGCCACTGGTTTTGGAAGGTCAGAATGACCTAGCAGTATGCTTAGGAGAGAAGCCATCTGCCAGGAAAACCCAAGATAGAGACAGAAGCCACAGGGCTTGCCACTGCATAGTCATGCATTTCCATTTGTAACGTTGACTGGTGTTGGACGTTTTAATAACTGACCTACAGACCTCTGCTGGTTGTCTCTTGATAAATATTTACTATTTGGGTTAAGCAGTGACGGGCCAGTCTCAGCTTCATTCTGAAGAAGTCTAATGGAAGGCTGAGACATACTATGTAATAACACGAGCTTCTGAAATTCATACAGTGGCTGAAGGGAAGAAATGAGAGGAGGAGGAGGATAAACATAGACCATTCTTGTCTCCCACCATGTTGATTGATTGATTGGTTGTTTCTTCATTTATTTTCTTTCAGGGACCCTCAAAGTCTGGACCCACCGGAAGTGAGCAATGCGAAGCTTCAGTATGCAGGGTGGGGCCCCAAAGGCCAGCAGCTGGTAAGCCAATCGAGCTCAGTGACCAGGTTTGAATTTGATGAAGTTTACACATTGTAGGCGGGATCCGCTCACTACGTTCAGGGTCTGTGTTTGCATGAGTTGAACTTTGGAAAGGTACACCAGAATATTCACCTGTGTAAAATGGACATTTCTTTTTTTTGATTAGAGAATTATGTAACACGGTTCCCAGATCTGAGACCCTTGAAGTGGTCCCCACTTAGCTAGCTGCGTGTAGACTCCAGACGTACCGTGAGGTCAAGGAGATAAACCTTGTCGAAAAGACCAATGGGAATTAGCAGAGTCACGGAGCCGTTGCGGGTTTCTTTCGTTTTGCTCTTGGAAGCCTGGCTCTGTTCTTCGGAGGGTTTGGGGAGAAGGTGGATTTGCTGGCCATCGTGGAGCCGTCCTCCCTGCGGGCGGTGTCAGCATGCGGCCAGCGCTGCCTCATGGCTTCACATCATGTCCTTCTGCGTCTTGATGCTGATTACATACAGCGGCATTTTAAAAACACTTTTCCTAAAATAACACAGAAAATGATTATTTTAAAAAGCTTGAGGTGAGATCGTATTGGACAGTCTGTCTGTTGTCTTAGGAATTGAAATAATCTTATTTTTCCCAATGGTATGGTTATACTGGTTGCATATTAATTCCATTTCCTTGAAATGACTTAAGGAAATAGGAAGATACAGGCCACAGAACTGTCCTAGCTACGACTAAAGGGTCCCCGGTGCCCGACACACAGCGATCAGGATTCGAAAAGCATGTTTAGCCAGTGGGAGTCAGCTTGTGACTTGGGGGGAAGGGGGGGGCCAGGAGGCGGGTGAACACCCCCCGCCAACTCAGTTACAAGGAGACGAAACTCACCTTTCCTCAGAGACGCTAACTCTTCCACAAGGAGAAGCTGCGACGTCATAGAAGGTTGTAGAAGCCCGAGACTCGCGTGACTGAGTCTCCAACAGCTGACTTTAAGTCCCTCTGATGTCATGATGGAAGGTGTGTCTGGGAGCAAAGTGCACCCATATCCGTCAGATCACTCCGTACAAGTGACATGTTGCCTCCACAGAGGCTCTCCCAAGTCTCCACAGTCCTCGGGCAGCCCGCTGCCCACAGCCTTGCACGCCGGCCTCATTCCCCCATGCGGGGAAGAGCTCACGGGTGGGCAGCCTTCCTGAGGGGCCACTGCCCAGCCTCCGTACAGGCGTCAGGGTGAGGACATTGTGACTCACACACTGGTCAGCGTCTCTTCCCGGCAGGCCCGCGGCCTCTTCCCTTGTGTCCCGGTGATTATCACTAAGCTTAGGGACTCACGCTTCCCCATCAGCACTCAGGAGAGGCCAGACCCTGGAACCAAGGTCGCACAACCTGGTCCTGCCTTCTAGAAAGGGCTTTTGGTTTACGGTAAATTTAACCCACAGTTCCTAAAGAAGGACGGGTGTGAGCACGTGCGTGCAAGCAAACACACACACTTTAGAATTCTGTCTGGAATTTGCAGGCAGATGGAGCTGCAGAATGTTCCCTCTCTAGGCCACTTACGTATTAGGCCAGCCCCTTCCGTATCTGAAGCTGCTCGTGTCCGGCTTTCTAGGGGTTGGGGGTGGGCTGAAGGGTCACAGTCATCCTGCTCAACCTCTTAAAGAACTGGCAGCAAAGCTAAGTAGGCACCAAGTTCTCTGAGAAAGCGTCCCTGACTCCACTCCCCGCTGCTGGCTCCGTCTCTGGACTCCCGTGTCTCCGTGCAGACTCCCCTCACTTGGATTTCTTGGTGTGAACTTGGGGTCTCTCCTCTGTTCCTCCAGCTTCATCTGGGCATCCAGCTCTGTCATCTTGTATTCTGAGTGCCTAGCCCAGCACCTAGTGCTCAGGATATATTTGTTGAGGTCAAAAATGGATGCATGGAGGTGCCTGGGTGGCTCAGTCGGTTAAGCGTCCAACTTCGGCTCAGGTCATGATCTTGCAGTTCGTGGGTTCGAGCCCCGTGTCAGGCTCTGTGCTGACAGCTCGGAGCCTGGAGCCTGCTTTGGATTCTGTGTCTCCCTCTCTCTCTGCCCCTCCCCTGCTCATACTCTGTCTCTCTGTCTCTCTCTCAAAAATAAATAAACATTGGGGCACCTGGGTGGCTCAGTTGGTTAAGCGTCCGACTTCAGCTCAGGTCACGATCTCACAGACCGTGAGTTCGAGCCCCGCATCGGGCTCTGGGCTGATGGCTCAGAGTCTGGAGCCTGCTTCCGGTTCTGTGTCTCCCTCTCTGTCTGCCCTTCCCCCATTCATGCTCTGTCTCTCTCTGTCTCAAAAATAAACGTAAAAAAAAAAAAAATTTTTTTTTTAAATAAAATAAAAATAAATAAATAAATAAATAAACAAACATTAAAAAAAATGTTTTTAAATGGATGCATGAATGGGTTTATTACATAATATATCCTTGTGACCCTCAGTCACTTAAACACAAAGTGACTGGGTGCAGACAAGCAGCCACGATCTGTGTGGATGTTCAGGACATTACTTAACAGTAGGGAAGTTCAACTTCCTTTCTGCTCCAAGGAAATGAATGTTCAGGTAAGTAATAATTGCTAGTATTTGGGCTTAGTACCAAAAGTACTAATGTGCTCAGGGAATTTTTCAGTTATTAACATTTTTGAACTTCCAGTTTTTATTATACAGTTCTTGTACCGAGTGTGGTCGGTAGGCAATATAACTCACCCCGGAGAGCGTC